TATTTCCAAAACTAATCAAAACAAAAGTAAATAAGTTCTCCTTTTTTAAACCTTTTTAGTCTCATATTATTCCATTCCCCAAATTGTAGCCATATTTTTAAAGCACTTTGCTTTTCCACTATTGTAATTCCACGCAGTTCCATTACCTTTAATTAGGGAATAGAAGGCACGGCACAGCTGTTCCGCCATTCAAGTCTCCAACATCTGACAGACGGAATCGCGGGTGCCACCGAAAAGACTAAAAGGAGGAGGTGCTCTGAAAATACTGAATAAAGGGAATAGGGGGAAGACTTTGTGGCCAACAATTCGGATTGGAGGAGGAAATGAGGGCAAGGAGGCTTCCCAACTTCGTGTTTTGGATATTTGTTCAAACAGATGTTGCACACATATAACTAATGTTTAGTTTTTGTTGGAAAATGTGTATTTCGCCAAAGTTTCGGATGGGTCCAGGCTCAGGTCCAGGACCAGGTCCCTGGATAGACTGTGGAGAGGTGTTGAATTTGTGTTCGCTAGTGGGCGACGACCGTACAGAACAGGAGGGGCTTGGCCAGCGAACCAAGACCATACCGTTGAAGTCAATAGGTTGTAGGTTTTATTTGAGATATTAATGAAAAAAGATAACCAGGCTAGATATTGGAAACTTTACTGCAGCGGGAAAAATGTGAAATGTTGCTGGAAAACAATTTGTAGAAAAATAAATATCAAATGGTACGGTCCAGTGGGAAGGTGGAACTTTATTTTGTATGTTGCATACTTAAAGTAAATATTCCACAATACAATTTAAATAGAAATGGATACGCATTGGATTATTTGCAAACCACTTCCTGCTTAGTTTCAACATATTGAGTCATTAGACACAGCTTAAAGCCCACCAAAACGGGTGGTGAACCCAATTGAGAATATATTGAGGCTTTAATTAAGGGGGCCTTGAGGGCCCCAGTAAACTCAGTTAACCCCCTTTGAGACCACTGGAGACCACAGACGTAGAGTCAATAAGATAATTTTGAACTGATTGAAACAGTTTTAGAACTGCATTAAGTTGGTTTTTAACTGTTTGAAACTGCTGTAGAACGGTAGGGTGGGATGTTATACGCGGTATACGTGTTATACACGCTATAGATGTGTCGAACAACCTCTCTTTAAATTGAAGACAAATAAAGAAGTAACTTTGAAGAACTCCAAAAATAATACCAAAGTTAAATCAGACGAAAAAGAAGTAAATTAATTACAAATCTAAAAAATTCGGAATAAATTAACCCCCAAATCCTCGAAAAGCTGCCAAAAATTGTTGCAGATGATGTTGCAAATAGAAATGTTTTCAATGCTAAATTTATTGCTTATTTATAAAAATTTACCAGAATTTAACTCGACCTCGTAGCACCACACCCAATATTGGAGGGGGAGTGTGCGAGTGTGTGCATGTGTGTGTATAAGTGGGTTTTTGGGCATTGACGTTTTAGCCTGGTGCTGAATATCCGCTTGTGGCGCACCACAAACGCTGCGGCTGCTTTCATCGTCATTTAGATGCGTGGGTACGAAATCTATAGATACCCTCGACGAAAAATCGGATATGAGAATTCAAAGTTCTGAATTATTCTAAATTATTTGAAAAATATTTTTGTATCATTTTTATTTTCTCATACCCATACTTCCCTTTTGAGTTTGATTATGTCAATGACCATGAGCAATCACATTTATCAGACCATCGATGGTTTCTTTTTTTGTGTGAAGCCCACCTCAAGATCACTTTGTTCCTGTCTGCATCTCTGTGGCGCTTTTGTTTAAGTGATTAAAAGTGGAGTTTATGCACAACAACAACAGCAAGAACATAAGTAGAACGCTGATGACCATGCAGGGGTAAAAAAGATAGCCCTCAGAGATTGAGAGCGTTACAAAGAGAGGTTTATGTGTCACTTAAATCAGTTGGACGAGCTTAAAATGTTAATACAACAACTTATTTACGCCGCGTTGAGCAATAAAGCCGCATCACAAAACTGTATGTAAGCTTAAACAATCCAGAGCATACTCCAACACATAAATATACGCCCACTACCTCCATACTCCACTTCATTTAGCATTCTCTATTGGCGTGATATGAAACGTCTGATGGAATGTAAGTGATGTGTGAACTTTATTAAGCCATGGCAATGGCCAACGAAAATTGAATGTGGCTACCATCCATTATTTTTTTGTGGCTGCTCTTGGAGTGCGTTTGTGTGTGTTTTTTTTTTGTATTCATTTATTCCTTCAATCTAGTCTGTTATTGTATGTCATCTTTTATTTTTCTGTATCCTAATCCATCCTCTAGTGTAAAATTCTTTACTGGTTTACTCTAATATCTCTTAATTTGGTTATTTCTGAATCTCTACTTTGTGTCATCTGTAGCTGAAGATGTATCTAATCCTCGTTTAGCACCGCCATTATCTGTTCTGATTTACTTATACTTTGAATATCTGCTCAGCGCATCGAAATGCGACATGAACTTCCCACTTCGGTGAACAATTACATATTGATAGTTTTCGAACTCTAAAGCCCATCTGGCAATTCTGGCATTAACGATTTTTTTATTAAGCGTGAAGGCTGATGAGTTACAATCAGTAACAATTTTAAACGGAATACCCTCCAGATATATATGTAATTTTCTTAATGAGTACACAATTGCTAACGTTTTCAGCTCGAAACGATGGTATCTCGACTAGGTATCTCTACTTTGTGTCATCTGTAGCTGANTTGAATGTCTGCTCAGCGCATCGAAATGCGACATGAACTTCCCACTTCGGTGAACAATTACATATTGATAGTTTTCGAACTCTAAAGCCCATCTGGCAATTCTGGCATTAACGATTTTTTTATTAAGCGTGAAGGCTGATGAGTTACAATCAGTAACAATTTTAAACGGAATACCCTCCAGATATATATGTAATTTTCTTAATGAGTACACAATTGCTAACGTTTTCAGCTCGAAACGATGGTATCTCGACTAGGTATCTCTACTTTGTGTCATCTGTAGCTGAAGATTTATCTAATCCTCGTTTAGCACCGCCATTATCTGTTCTGATTTACTTATACTTTGAATGTCTGCTCAGCGCATCGAAATGCGACATGAACTTCCCACTTCGGTGAACAATTACATATTGATAGTTTTCGAACTCTAAAGCCCATCTGGCAATTCTGGCATTAACGATTTTTTTATTAAGCGTGAAGGCTGATGAGTTACAATCAGTAACAATTTTAAACGGAATACCCTCCAGATATATATGTAATTTTCTTAATGAGTACACAATTGCTAACGTTTTCAGCTCGAAACGATGGTAGAAGAAGTTCCGAACTTTGAAAAAAACGCAATTGGGTGGAATTTCCCATTGTTGTGTTTTTGTAATAAGAAACCACTGTAACCTGAATGCTTGCGTTGCAATGTAATTCGGTCTCTCTATCTGGATTATATAATGCAAGAAATGGCTTTCAAGATAATCTAGAACAAAGATCCTGAAATACTTTATGGCATTCATTTGTAAACTCAAACGTAACACCTGGTCTTGTCAGGTTCTTAATTGGCTTAACTATTGTTGCAAACGCCAAATATGAAAAGAGTCCGAAGCATGTTTCGATTTCGTACATATTCTTTGGAACTGGAAGGTGCTTAATTGCTACTGTATGCTCTTCTTTAGGCCTTATTCCCTCTTTGCTAACTCTAAACCCAAAAACTGACAGAACTTACAATTCTTTAGTTTTAGTTCCAGTCGGAATTCCGTATGCCTTCTTAAAACTCGTCCTATTAAAATTAAATGCTCTTCAAATGTTTTGTTGCCGATTGCGATATCATCCATATAAACCGCAATATTGCCTTCCTTAATCAATGGCTGATAAACAAAATCTGTGAGTTATCTACAACAAGCGGGTGCAGTTTTTAATCCGAACGGCATTTTCACGTACTCGTACTCACCACAAACGTGTCACAAACGCCGTGTACTTAATCTTTGGCAACCTTAACTTGATGAAATCCACTTTTTATACCCGGTACTCGAAGAGTATATAGGTTATATTGTATTTGTGCACAAAGTATGTAACACACAGAAAGAAACGTTTCCGACCCCATAAAGTATATATATTCTTGATCAGCATCAATAGCCGAGTCGATTGAGCCATGTCTGTCTGTCCGTCCGTCTGTCCGTCCTGATGAGGGCCTAGTACTCTCAGAAACTATAAGAGCTAGAGTCACCAAATTTTGCACCCAGATTTCTGTATGCTGTGCTATCAGAACACCAAATTGGAATCCGATTGGATCATTATTATAGCCACAATGAAGAAATTAAATTGCAGTGGCTAAACCCACCCTGTCCCGCAGCTTATATTGGGTTTTTTCACATTCTCTCATTCACACTGCTTCTGCAGTGCACTGCCTCTGCCGCGAGTCTGCAGTGTGTGGGTCTAGGGCAGGGCGGCGAGCTAAAGGAGCGTGTTGGTTTGAGAAGTGTTGTAGATGTAGACGACAGATGAAGGAATAATTTAAAATTTGACAAAACACCGCTAAGGTGCAGATGTAGACTGAGTGCCGGGTATAAAAGATGTGACGCGTAAGATGCGTCTCACACGTCCCTTCTCGTTTTCAATTCAATGTTATGCTCTACCGGAGGGATCCTTGCGCTATCAACGTAGTTTGTTTTAATAGTTTACTTAACCGATTTAATTTGCTCAGTTCTTAAAGTTTGATTAATAGAAAAGTTCTCTTTGTTCTGAATGTTAATACTTAATATAAATTTATCGGAATTTGAATAGACGAAATCTTAAGGTACGGAATCTGAATAGTCGGAATTTAAAGTTTCGGAATCTGAATGGTCGGAATTTGAAGGTTCGTAATCAGAATGGTCGGTATTTAAAGGTTCGGAATCTGAATTTTCGTTAAATCTTCAAGAATCTCTACCACATAAAATAGGAAATGGAATGTAATTATCTGGAACAACGTAAAATACTATTCTGTGCGTAATACCGGAGAACGATATAAATATCCAGATCTTCCCAAACGGGCATAACCGAAAATTTCCCAATCCTTTAAAGTCCGTTTCCTTGAAACTGTTTTCTCTTAATTTGAGTGGTAATGCGGAATGACGTATTAAACTAATTGCGCTGCCCGTATCAACAAGATAAATATAATGATTATAAATCCTATCTGGCGTATTCATAGTGTCGCAAGAGATTCTTACCGTATTTATTACTGCCACTTCGTTATTCCCTGAAGGTGGTGGGACCTTGCAGTTTTTGATAGCATGGTCCATGGAGCCGCAACGGAAACAGGAGCCCTTCATCCTCTTGGGCTTTGTACACGCCTTAGCGATGTGTTCAGTTCCACTGCTGGCAGGAATGCTATTGTGTCCCATCAGCTTCTTTGCTGACTGCGATGCTCTCCAACGTTTTTTACGCTTTTCTTCGTAACGGTGTGACAGCTTCACAAGTTCGCCAAAAGTTCTGGCCGGATAGAATATAGCAATGTCAGCGGAATCGTCCTTTAGCCCGTCGATCACGAACTGTACGGCCTGTTCCTCGTCGACCGGAGCTCGTTGCGCAACTTCTTGCATTTGCAGTACATAACCTAGAACTGACATCTTTCCCGGGCAATAAACCGTATATTTGAGAGTGTTTATTACCTCCACTATTGAGAAAATCCAGGAAATCTTTCTTAAAGGCGTCTGTTTCCGCCGTCATTCAACGTCGCACACACATAAAACCCTTCCATCCATGCATACGGTTCCATAATCTGCAAAACCTCCTTGAAATTGGCTAATTCGTCCACGCTTCCCTTTCGCAGTTCTTCCAGGACTTGCTTCCTCTGGAGCAAACTTATCTCTGCTTCGATCATAAGGCATTCGGCTTCTAGCCTCCTAGCTTGTGCGTCTTGCAAAATTGTTGGACCGTCTGATTTTAACTCCTTATTCTCGCTTTCTTCACCAGGTAATTCCATTAAGACAGCGCCATTTGCCATTGCCAGTCGCCGAAGCTGTCTGAATGTTGCAGCCTGATCGAACTTAATGTTATTTTCGATCAGCCACTCTGACTTTGCTTATGCTGCGACGTACAGACGCCAAAGCATACAGATGTATGTCGTGCTATCTCCCTTCTGGTACCGGAGTCTTATTTGCCGAATGTATGAGTGGCGAAACATGTCTTCGAATTATAGACACGTTTCCTTTATCCTACTTATCTATCTCCACTACTTTAGATATTTTAACGGAGTTTAAGATTTATCTTTGCACATGTTTCTTTAAATGTATTTTTTATATATGGTTCTACTTCTCCAAGCAATCTTTTTCTCTCTTCGTTCATTTCCACCGAATGCCGGACCGATCCAGCTTTCGATCGCTGGTCCACGATAGTTTATCGATAGTTCATATTTATGTTACTCGATAGCCTAACTAACTACTAATGCACATGTTTGTAAACGAATAGTGGGCACATGTTTTTTTTTTCAACTTTTTTAAGTTTTGTCGTAAAATGTTGTAATAAATACCTTACAAAAACCCACATCTTTGCATTTCAAGGTTAATATTTCGGAAACGATAAGCTAAAACCACAAAGTGTTAAGATACACTTTGTAGACGCATTCATTAGCTGTAAGGATGATTTAGTTCATTACAATCAGATGTGAGATCCTTAAGTTATGTGAAAAAAATAAGCACTACCTCTACAAAATTCGATACAAAATATATCAGATTTGAAAAAATTCTTTAAAAAAAGATCTGCCATAGAAAAAAAAGATCATCAAACCATTTCTAGGCCCATATCTTTCATAAAAAGTTGGTCTGGATTTTTATTTATTTATTTAAATTAACAATTATCTGCTAATTATGGAATAGGAATAAAAACAAACTAATTATATATTTACAAAAGAGAAAGGAAAGATGCAATTTACACATTTTTTAAACTAAGGTAATATATGTTACATATAATTTTTTGAAGGGATAATTCTGGGGATATTAAATGGTACAAGTAATTATAATTATTGCATAAAACCCGGAAAGGTTTATGCTGGAATTAATTTGATCTACATATGAATAATCGGATGGGGCGGAAAGTACGGGTTGGTCTGGAGGGAACCAAAGAATCGATTCGTCCCAAAAGCGTTTGGGAGTCCACAATCCCGAGAATGAGCTTATGCATAAATACTACCCCATTACAAATTCAGCGATGGTGTAAAGAGGGTAGGTCCAGTAGTTTTAGGCTAGATAGGTATGGTGGAAGGAGTCTGTCAGAGTTCCAGTTCAGATTACTTAGGGCGAATATTAAAAATTGTTTTTGAACGGATTCAAGATTAATTTGTATTGTGGACTCCACATACAAGAACAATACTCCAATATCGGGCGAACCAACGAGACGTACAGTGTTTTAGTAATTTACAGATCGTCAAACTCCCTCAGCTTTGTTAACAGTTGAAGCAATATGGCTATTAAAACATAGCTTGTGATCGAAAAGGACTCATTAGTCATTTGATGTTGAGATTCGATCCAGAAAATGGGGCGTCCTAGGGAATAGGAGACAAAATGTGGTGCAAGGCGGTGAAAAGTCATAAGTTTGCCCTTGGAATCGTATGCTTAATTCATCAAGGTCAAGTTGTAGGCGAGTATGCAAGTACCAGTCGGAAAAGGAAAAAATAAATTTTAACGCCATCAGCATACATTAAAGTAACTAAGTGCAAAATAAATTGGGGCAGATCGTTTACAAACAAATTTACCAGAAGCGGACCTAAATGACTTCCTTGAGGAACTCCAGAGGTTACTTTCAAAACATTCGACAATACATTGTTAAACAAAACACGCTGTGTGCGATTCGACAGGTCCAATTTACAAGATTTGTGGGAAACCCCAATAAAGAGAGTTTATGGTCCAGCAAAGTATGGTTAACAGAATCAAAGGCTTTACCGAAATCTGTAAAAATGAGTTCAGTCTGCAAGCCACTTTGAAATCCTTGGTTGATTAGAGACGAGAATTCTAAAAGGTTAGTAGATGTTGATCGATATCTAAAAAAACCATGTTGCGACGGGGATATAATGCTAGAACATGCGTGTTGCAATTATCGAGGAACAAGGTGCTCGAGCAACTTCGGAATGACAGATAGTTTAGCAATACCACGATAGTTTTCGATATTAGATCTGGACCCTTTCTTGTGAAGAGGAATAAGGTAGGATTCATTCTAGATCATGGGGAGGCGAGAACGCTCCAGGGATAAATTAAATAAGAAGGTCAAAGGATGAGATAGGGCTTCAGCGCAATATTTTAAAATACAGCTCGGAACTTTATTGGACCCGCAGTGAAACAGATGTCAATTGATGACAACCCTTAGAAGACTGTACTTTCTTCAATGAAGGGAAGAAACACGTTATTAACATCAGGCAGATGGTATGGATAAGGGGTGAAGGAGTCATAAGTATCCGAAGAGTACGTCGATTGAAAGAAGGTGGAAAATAAATTTGCAATTCCTTGATCTGAAGTTTCTGTTTTAGACTGTAACTGAAGGGAAGAAGGGAACGCGTTAGACTTGCGTTTTGAGTTGACGAACGAAAAGAGGAAATTTGTGCCACATTTAGAAAGATCTAGGTTATAACATCTCTTATTGACCCTAAGAAATTGAGAGCGAACCGAAGAATATTGAGCAAAGACAGACAAAGAACCAGTTATCTGGTACTTTTTGTACAGCCGGGATTTTTTATTTTTTAGGTAAGACAGCTACTTGGAAAACCACTTGACTTTAGGGATGTAGGTATCGAGGGCAGAGTATAATGTTTCGTAAAACAGATTGCCAGTAGTCTCTATATGTGATGAGGACTGAAGAAAGGACCAATCAACTTGCGACATATAAAGACAAAGATTGATAAAATTAGTTTTGCGAAAACACTTTATACGACTTTATGAAGGTAAAATAATGTTAGTAATAGAGACCTCGAAATGTATAGATAAAGTAGGATGATGCGGATTTTCGGGAAAAGATATCAGATTGCCTTTTAAAACCGTTGTACGTGAGGCATCGCTGACAAAGATGAGATCTAACAGAGTTAATTTGGGCAGCCGAGACGTCACTTCGACGAAATCATGTTGACTTCCAGGTAGCAACATGTTTGTATCATCCTGTTGCCAAGATTGAGTATCTGATTAGCACAGCCTAAAGAAGAAACTACAGATCGAATTGCAGAAAGGTGGTTCAAATAAACAACGGCATCAGATCTGGGTGGGATATAAGAACAGGTCAAAAAGATATATGCTGTTCCAATACGGATTTTGACTGCAACTCATTCGATACCATGGATGTTGTTGAATGGAAACAGCTCGGACGCAAATGCCGTTTTCACTGCAATAATATATATACCATAATAATACACTGCACTTGTGGGCGAGAATTTCGTGTTCGGAGACGGAGGAGTTAAGCCAGGTTTCAGTTATGGCGATTGCGTCGTTTTCAAAAGAGGCACTTTTAGACAATTTACCTAAAAGACTGCGTACGTTCTGATATTGGATGGAGAAATGGTTCCTTAGTTTTTTGAAATCTTAGGGAGAGTAACTCGAGGATTCTAGGTGGAGTCTCTAGGCAGAAATTCATGCATAATAGTGTGATCAGGCCATGCAGCCGGTTCCAAAGCTTTGGATACAAGAGAATCGGGAAAAAGAGTTTTGAAAGATATAAGAGTTTTGAGATATAACGCTTATGTGTAAAATTAAATTAATTATCCGGCGGCGATTGAAGATAAGAGCTTAGATGTAGTTTGACATCATCCGGTATGGCTTCGGTAATAAGACGAGAAACAAAGATTGCTTTGCGGGGACCACCGCGTTGAGTACAACACCGAAAAAGCGAGCTGGTGGAGCTACTCCTAAAAGTCTCAGGGCGGGAGCTGAGGAGCTAGAAGAGGCTGCCGATCCATCACCATTCAATGTAACAGAGACCGACAAATCATTTGCAACTGGAATCTGGTTACTGTTACGGATTCCTTCCCTGGCAACTGAGTCCGAACTTAAATTGACAGGGGTATGGATTTTTGAAGCAACTACTATGGTGTTAGGCGTGAGAAAGGCTGTATCCTCCGATGCCGGATGGACATCAATCGGTGAATGATGGATGAAGATGAAGTGAAGCGGCAAAATCGTGTCGAGTAGTGTAATATAACAAGAATTTCACACTCGACGTTGCATTAAGTATTATGCTGCTGGGAGGTGTCACTCTCTTTGTAAACCTCTTCAAAGAATATTGTTCCTTACAAATTTATACTGGTTCAGCGACTTGAGAGTACCCAGAATAAAAGGACCACTTTCTGTGTTTTGTCAAACACATATTTAAAACTTCACTTAAATTGTTTAATTTTAAATTGCATACTATTTCAAAGATGCAAGGAATAATTTTCGTATTAAAATTGCTAACTTAACAGTGGTAAGCTCTGTTAAATTTTGGACTACGTAACGTTGAAGAGCAATGTTTTTGGATACATCGCAGTTAAAACGAGAAGGGACGCGTGAGACGCTTCTTACGCGTCACAACTTTTATACCCGGCACTCAGTACTACTTCTGCACCTTAGCGGTTTTTTGTCAAATTTAACATTTCTTCTTCATCTTCATTTCTACATCTACAACACTTCTCACACCAACACGCTCCGTTAGCTCGCTCCCCTTCCATA